CTCATTCTAGTGCAATGATGAACTTCAAAAACTGACATTGTAATGTTATGCCATTTTTTGTTTTAAAATATATTCAAAATATATTCTAATATATCATAATAATCATTATCACTCCTCATCAAACTTAGGGAATGACAGAGACATACATTGACTTATCTGTTTGATTCTCTCCTAGAAGCCATTCTTCAACCCTCCTTCTCTACCAGCTTCTCCACCCCAACAACCCCTACATCATTCTTCAACCCTCCTTCTCTACCAGCTTCTCCACCCCAACAACCTCAACCCCAACATCATTCTTCAACCCTCCTTCTCTACCAGCTTCTCCACCCCAACAACCTCAACCCCAACATCATTCTTCAACCCTCCTTCTCTACCAGCTTCTCCACCCCAACAACCTCAACTCCTACATCATTCTTCAACTCTCCTTCTCTACCAGCTTCTCCACCCCAACAACCTCAACCCCAACATCATTCTTCAACCCTCCTTCTCTACCAGCTTCTCCACCCCAACATCATTCTTCAACCCTCCTTCTCTACCAGCTTCTCCACCCCAACAACCTCAACTCCTACATCATTCTTCAACTCTCCTTCTCTACCAGCTTCTCCACCCCAACAACCTCAACCCCAACATCATTCTTCAACCCTCCTTCTCTACCAGCTTCTCCACCCCAACAACCTCAACCCCAACATCATTCTTCAACCCTCCTTCTCTACCAGCTTCTCCACCCCAACAACCTCAACTCCTACATACGTCTTCAATCCTCCTTCTCTACCAGCTTCTCCACCCCAACAACCTCAACTCCTACATCATTCTTCAACCCTCCTTCTCTACCAGCTTCTCCACCCCAACAACCTCAACCCCAACATCATTCTTCAACCCTCCTTCTCTACCAGCTTCTCCACCCCAACAACCTCAACCCCAACATCATTCTTCAACCCTCCTTCTCTACCAGCTTCTCCACCCCAACAACCTCAACTCCTACATCATTCTTCAACTCTCCTTCTCTACCAGCTTCTCCACCCCAACAACCTCAACCCCAACATCATTCTTCAACCCTCCTTCTCTACCAGCTTCTCCACCCCAACATCATTCTTCAACCCTCCTTCTCTACCAGCTTCTCCACCCCAACAACCTCAACTCCTACATCATTCTTCAACTCTCCTTCTCTACCAGCTTCTCCACCCCAACAACCTCAACCCCAACATCATTCTTCAACCCTCCTTCTCTACCAGCTTCTCCACCCCAACAACCTCAACCCCAACATCATTCTTCAACCCTCCTTCTCTACCAGCTTCTCCACCCCAACAACCTCAACTCCTACATACGTCTTCAATCCTCCTTCTCTACCAGCTTCTCCACCCCAACAACCTCAACTCCTACATCATTCTTCAACCCTCCTTCTCTACCAGCTTCTCCACCCCAACAACCTCAACCCCAACATCATTGTTCAACCCTCCTTCTCTACCAGCTTCTCCACCCCAACAACCTCAACTCCAACATCATTCTTCAACCCTCCTTCTCTACCAGCTTCTCCACCCCAACCCCTACATCAGAGGACAACCGCCGGTACAGAAGGCAGTCTTTGGTAACTTTGGTAAAGTCTTAGACTTTTAAAATAAAGTTTTGGTCCGATTTCTTTTGACTTTTCCTTATTCTAGGGAAACCTGGAAGGCTGCCACGTTGTTGGGTTACAGCAGTGCACACACACACACAAACACACACAGCAGATGACCAGCTGTGTCAAAGCTCTCAGGAGTCGGATCATTGTAATCGGCATTAGCCACATTGCAGGGGACAGCATAGGGTCAAAGTCTTTACGTGTCAGTAGCACAAACATAATAAAATATTCCATCTATTAATATGATCTCTATTGTTACTCAATTTGTCACAAAATATTAAAAAGTTATCCAAGATGATCAATCCCAGCTAAAGGGCTGATCGTAGAATGCCTGATCAACTCTGATCCTCATTGAGAGAGAGTTCGACAGGGAGAGAAGGTCTTAGAATATCGACTGTGAGTATTTAAAACATGTTTGAAACAAAATCAGACGGAAAGTAAACCATTATGCATTTCCTTACAATGTAAGGAAATCTATAATTTTATCCAAGCCTTCTGAAAAGGGGAAAACAGACACCACCGTTCAAAAGTTTGGAGTAACTTAGAAACCTAGATGTCCGGCATCCTGGAGTCGCCTCTTCACTGTTGACGTTGGGACTGGTGTTTTGCTGCAACAATTTAATAAAGCAGTCAGTTGAGGACCAGTTCCAAGGCACTGTATTTGTCCTCTTGCTCAGTTGTGCCCCGGGACCTCCCGTTCCTCTTCGTGCTTAGAGTTTTAGCTGTTCTGTGAAGAGAGTTGTACACCACGTCGCACCGGAACTTCAGTTTCTCTGCAATTTCTCGCATTGGAAACGCCTTGATACTACAGAACAAAAACAGACTGACGCATTTCAGAAGTTATTTGTTTCTGGACACTTTGAGCCTGTAATCGAACACACAAACACTGATGCACCAGATAGTCAACTAGTCTAAGGATCGGCACACAGTTTTCAGATATGCTAACATAATTACAAAAGGTTTTTATGATGATCGATAAACGTTTCCATTCCAGCTACAATAGTCATTAACAAAATTTACAATGTTTCCACGGCATTTCTGTTCATTTTTATGTTACGTTAATTAACAAAAAATTTAATTTCATTCAAAAACAAGGGCATTTCTTTCCAACATTATGAACTGTAGCGTACACCTTAATTTTTGTAAGGGCCTTATTCCAGAGAGCAGCTTTTCAGATACGACCTGCAGACAGCTTGTGTGCTGCCGGCCTGCCTGTGTTTTGTCGCACGGAGCTTATATAGATCGCCGCCGTCTGCGTGTGTCTGTGGAGGAATGACAGAGAGCTCAATGGAGGCGTCCTTCTCGTCTGTCCTCCCGCCCGCTGCCCCTAGACTCCCATTCCGTCCCCATACCTCCAGACACTGGTGATGAATGCAGGCGTAGTGCGTGTGTGTTTCCCCACACGCAGACGACGTTATTAACACGGTATAAAATGTGATGGAGCATCTCTGCCACGTCGGCGGGCTCCAAGGCACAGCACAGAGGCTGCCCGGCTGTGATTTATTTCAGGAATCATGAAAAAGTAAGCGTGCCATTAAAAACACAGGTGTTTGGAAGAAGCCCTGCTCACGGTGCGTGTGATCGATAATGTCACTTTTACAGAGCTCACTTTCAGGCACCCGCGACAGCATACGCCATTAACGAACCTCTGCTACAGGGTGCCACAGAAGAGCAGGCTACACACACACACACGTTTACAGTGTGCTTATATGCACTCACATATAACTCAGCAGAGCTAATGTGGTGGATAATGCACTGTAAATGGCAAACTACCTGATTGATACCTTTACTAAAAGCAATGATAGTTATTTTTAAAACTTGAGAGAAGTCCAAAGTTGTTGGACGTGCCTTTAGGCCCAGCTACGGTGCCTTACTATCTCATCTGTTAGTGTTTGTTGAGCGGCTTCCCAAGACAGTAGAACAGGACACCTCGGACAAATAGAACTAATGCTGTGGCTTAGAATGGATACTTTGTAAAACTTACTGAATGTACTGGGCATTCTCCTACTGCAAGGAAATACATTCACATAAGAAATGTACATATGGTTTATTTCTCACCATACTGCACATATTATTAGAATTTAAATTTAACCTATTTATTTTGCATTTATTGATAATAACAAAATATTATTTAACATTTGCTTTAATGTTATTGGAACAAATTGTGGGTTTGTACAAAAAAGTAGTTATCATTGAAAAAGCAAAACATGTTTTAACTTCCATGGTAATTCCTATCTATGTGAGATAATAAAATAATACATATAAAGACAATGAGGGGAAATACATTTAACAAAAACATTCTCAAAGTGGACGCTGCATTCCAACATGATATTCAAGTTACAAAAACAGGAACAATTAAGAGCCAACTGAGTGGAAATAAACTCCCTGTCTTGCTCCCAAATGCAATGCTATTTGCATATGGCCAAACAGAGGACAGAGCAGGTGTAGATACAGAGGGGTTTACCAGCGGGTTGATATTGGTCCTGTTTCACACAAAAGTGTGTTGTTTTCAAATGGAAATATATTGTTATATATATACATACATACAAAACTTCACAAGAAACATTCAGAGATGGTGTACATTTATAGGTAATATTTATGTATTTATAGGTTGGAAACATATTCATAGTATAAACCTGACAAAAGTTGCATATCATAGAAATCCAGCTGTTTGTATTTTTTGTCTTTTCTCACTCTTTCTCGCAATGCTCTTGACTGCCATGAAAATGAACTATTAATGTGATTCCCAAAGGAATTCTTCATGCCAGGGCTGGCTTTGACAGCGGCAATACGACGCTTGTTGTGTGGTCAACAAACAATTTTCCTGGGCTTCAGTGCTTTTCAAAAGAGAACTTTTTTCTTTCAGCCAGATAATGTGAAAAATGTTGTTGTCAAAGGTCCCCTTCTTTTCTTCTCTCACAAGATGTCAGACGGAGAGAGTTAGAATTTCTAAATGTTAATCTGTAAAAGCGTGAACTCCAAAATCTAAAACCAGACTGTGTCTCCACACACAGAAACAGAGATGTGCTTTTCACAGTTACACACATTTCTATTATCTATAACTTTGAGAAATAAGTACTTCCTTGGGTGTAGTCAACACAAGAAGTTTGTAAGTAAAAAAAAAAAGACTTAAATGTTAAAAAAAACAATATAATTGTTCTTCCTATTTGTTGCTTAATTGTCACTCATGATGTAATACAATTAATTAATAGACACCGGCGAAGATAAAACAAAAGAAAGTGCATGAAATATTGAAGTTTTGAATGGATGCATAACCATTTAGGTTAACATGGTTAACATTTATCGGTGAGTACATTCAATTTCACACGTTCAGAGTTGATACACCTCTTAACACACAAGTCATATACTTTAAGTGATATCAGTTGGTGTAGCTGCCTGGTAGAGTGCATGATTTGTATGTATGATGTTCTGGGTTCAATCCCCAGCTGCTCCCCAGGTCACCGTTGCAAATGAGAATCTGTCTCTATGGACCTACCTGGTTAAATAAAGGTTAAATAAAAAATATCAATTATTAACTATTTTTGGCCTTTCACTATACTTAAAAAGGAGAGCAATGATGTGGCCTAGGTAATGTCAATCGTGCATTGATGTAATGATAGGGCACATAAATGTGTATGTGTATGTGTGTGTGCGTGTGCGTGTGTGTGTGCGTGTGTGTGTGTGTGTGTGTGTGCGTGCGTGCGTGTGTGCGTGCGTGTCTGAGCAGAACATGATAAGAACTGACAAGTGGGCTGTGCCTTTGCTCTCCCCCGCCCCTAGATTTCCAGCCTTAACCCCTCCCCCTTAGGCCCTCCACCCCAGCCCTCCCTCCTCTCCATCCTGGCTTACTCCTTTGCAGCCTCTCATCACGGTCACATCCTGTCATCACACACACATCCCTGTCACACTGTGGCTGATTGATGAGGGCACTTTTGATAATGGCATCGGGAACAGGGGCGTCTGCCTTGTCATTAAAGCCTATCAGACCTGCCTTATTACACCCGAGGAATCTACGGGCTGACATAAAGCAGACACAGCCCCGGTGCTGAGGAGATATGGCCAGAGATAATTAAGCTACAGTAGGTACTAATATAGTACCTGGCTTAATACATCCATCACATGCATCAAAGTTCAATTCCCTCTGAAGGGCTTGGATGAACTACACACTGAAGAGAAATACAGGAAGCAGTTCATCTGAATGATCATTTTGTCAGCTGTGCATGTTGATACCTAATAGAATTTTCTGACAAACATAAACATGTAGCTGAAACCCACAGAGCCATTATAAGGTAGATGTAAATACCAATGAAATATGTTGTCGAAGTCAGTAGAACTGAGGCCTCTGAGCCCAGCACAAACAGGTCCATATTAAACCGGTACCTCAGGAGAACACAGGAGAAAGAATGGAAGATGTTGGCTAGATGTCGCAAGAGTTAGGGGGAGAGGTCAAACCGGATGATGTCACTTGGGATCTGTCACTGTGGAGTAACACGATGAGTTAATATGACAATAACAGGCACATAGAGTATAACAGGCACATAGAGTATAACAGGCACATAGAGAATAACAGGCACATAGAGTATAACAGGCACATAGAGTATAACAGGCACATAGAGTATAACAGGCACATAGAGAATAACAGGCACATAGAGAATAACAGGCACATAGAGAATAACAGGCACATTGAGAATAACAGGCACATAGAGAATAACAGGCACATAGAGTATAACAGGCACATATGGGATAACAGGCACATAGAGAATAACAGGCACATAGAGAATAACAGGCACATATGGGATAACAGGCACATAGAGAATAACAGGCACATAGAGAATAACAGGCACATAGAGAATAACAGGCACATAGAGTATAACAGGCACATAGAGTATAACAGGCACATAGAGAATAACAGGCACATAGGGAATAACAGGCAAATAGAGAATAACAGGCACATAGAGAATAACAGGCACATAGAGTATAACAGGCACATAGAGAATAACAGGCACATAGAGAATAACAGGCACATAGGGAATAACAGGCAAATAGAGAATAACAGGCACATAGAGTATAACAGGCACATAGAGTATAACAGGCACATAGAGTATAACAGGCACATAGAGAATAACAGGCATATAGAGAATAACAGGCACATAGAGAATAACAGGCACATAGAGTATAACAGGCACATATGGGATAACAGGCACATAGAGTATAACAGGCACATAGAAGATAACAGGCACATAGAGTATAACAGGCACATAGAGTATAACAGGCACAGAGTATAAAAGGCACATAGAGAATAACAGGCACATAGAGAATAACAGGCACATAGAGTATAACAGGCACATAGAGAATAACAGGCACATAGAGTATAACAGGCACATAGAGAATAACAGGCACATAGAGAATAACAGGCACATAGGGAATAACAGGCAAATAGAGAATAACAGGCACATAGAGTATAACAGGCACATAGAGTATAACAGGCACGTAGAGTATAACAGGCACATAGAGAATAACAGGCATATAGAGAATAACAGGCACATAGAGAATAACAGGCACATAGAGAATAACAGGCACATATGGGATAACAGGCACATAGAGTATAACAGGCACATAGAAGATAACAGGCACATAGAGTATAACAGGCACATAGAGTATAACAGGCACATAGAGTATAACAGGCACAGAGTATAAAAGGCACATAGAGAATAACAGGCACATAGAGAATAACAGGCACATAGAGAATAACAGGCACATAGAGTATAACAGGCACATAGAGAATAACAGGCACATAGAGAATAACAGGCACATAGGGAATAACAGGCAAATAGAGAATAACAGGCACATAGAGTATAACAGGCACATAGAGTATAACAGGCACGTAGAGTATAACAGGCACATAGAGAATAACAGGCATATAGAGAATAACAGGCACATAGAGAATAACAGGCACATAGAGAATAACAGGCACATATGGGATAACAGGCACATAGAGTATAACAGGCACATAGAAGATAACAGGCACATAGAGTATAACAGGCACATAGAGTATAACAGGCACATAGAGTATAACAGGCACAGAGTATAAAAGGCACATAGAGAATAACAGGCACATAGAGAATAACAGGCACATAGAGAATAACAGGCACATAGAGTATAACAGGCACATAGAGAATAACAGGCACATAGAGAATAACAGGCACATAGAGAATAACAGGCACATAGAGTATAACAGGCACATAGAGAATAACAGGCACATAGAGTATAACAGGCACATAGAGAATAACAGGCACATAGAGTATAACAGGCACATAGAGAATAACAGGCACATAGAGAATAACAGGCACATAGGGAATAACAGGCAAATAGAGAATAACAGGCACATAGAGTATAACAGGCACATAGAGTATAACAGGCACGTAGAGTATAACAGGCACATAGAGAATAACAGGCACATAGAGAATAACAGGCACATAGAGAATAACAGGCACATATGGGATAACAGGCACATAGAGTATAACAGGCACATAGAAGATAACAGGCACATAGAGTATAACAGGCACATAGAGTATAACAGGCACATAGAGTATAACAGGCACAGAGTATAAAAGGCACATAGAGAATAACAGGCACATAGAGAATAACAGGCACATAGAGAATAACAGGCACATAGAGTATAACAGGCACATAGAGAATAACAGGCACATAGAGAATAACAGGCACATAGAGAATAACAGGCACATAGAGAATAACAGGCACATAGAGAATAACAGGCACATAGAGTATAACAGGCACATATGGGATAACAGGCACATAGAGTATAACAGGCACATAGAAGATAACAGGCACATAGAGTATAACAGGCACATAGAGTATAACAGGCACAGAGTATAAAAGGCACATAGAGAATAACAGGCACATAGAGAATAACAGGCACATAGAGTATAACAGGCACATAGAGAATAACAGGCACATAGAGTATAACAGGCACATAGAGAATAACAGGCACATAGAGAATAACAGGCACATAGGGAATAACAGGCAAATAGAGAATAACAGGCACATAGAGTATAACAGGCACATAGAGTATAACAGGCACATAGAGAATAACAGGCACATATGGGATAACAGGCACATAGAGAATAACAGGCACATAGAGAATAACAGGCACATAGAGAATAACAGGCACATAGAGTATAACAGGCACATAGAGAATAACAGGCACATAGAGAATAACAGGCACATAGAGAATAACAGGCAAATAGAGAATAACAGGCACATAGAGAATAACAGGCACATAGAGTATAACAGGCACATAGAGAATAACAGGCACATAGAGAATAACAGGCACATAGAGAATAACAGGCAAATAGAGAATAACAGGCACATAGAGTATAACAGGCACATAGAGTATAACAGGCACATAGAGTATAACAGGCACATAGAGAATAACAGGCATATAGAGAATAACAGGCACATAGAGAATAACAGGCACATAGAGTATAACAGGCACATATGGGATAACAGGCACATAGAGTATAACAGGCACATAGAAGATAACAGGCACATAGAGTATAACAGGCACATAGAGTATAACAGGCACAGAGTATAAAAGGCACATAGAGAATAACAGGCACATAGAGAATAACAGGCACATAGAGTATAACAGGCACATAGAGAATAACAGGCACATAGAGTATAACAGGCACATAGAGAATAACAGGCACATAGAGAATAACAGGCACATAGGGAATAACAGGCAAATAGAGAATAACAGGCACATAGAGTATAACAGGCACATAGAGTATAACAGGCACGTAGAGTATAACAGGCACATAGAGAATAACAGGCATATAGAGAATAACAGGCACATAGAGAATAACAGGCACATAGAGAATAACAGGCACATATGGGATAACAGGCACATAGAGTATAACAGGCACATAGAAGATAACAGGCACATAGAGTATAACAGGCACATAGAGTATAACAGGCACATAGAGTATAACAGGCACAGAGTATAAAAGGCACATAGAGAATAACAGGCACATAGAGAATAACAGGCACATAGAGAATAACAGGCACATAGAGTATAACAGGCACATAGAGAATAACAGGCACATAGAGAATAACAGGCACATAGGGAATAACAGGCAAATAGAGAATAACAGGCACATAGAGTATAACAGGCACATAGAGTATAACAGGCACGTAGAGTATAACAGGCACATAGAGAATAACAGGCATATAGAGAATAACAGGCACATAGAGAATAACAGGCACATAGAGAATAACAGGCACATATGGGATAACAGGCACATAGAGTATAACAGGCACATAGAAGATAACAGGCACATAGAGTATAACAGGCACATAGAGTATAACAGGCACATAGAGTATAACAGGCACAGAGTATAAAAGGCACATAGAGAATAACAGGCACATAGAGAA